GGCAGAGATCTCACATCATATCAAGAGACAGCGGCTGCCGCTCTTAAGGGATCACCGTCCGTCCCAATCGTTTGGCACCGACTGCCATACCCAAGAAAACATTTCAGTCCGAAGGGCGACGGCTTTTCAGAGCGACGATATATGCACAGGCAGCGGTATATTATGGTTTCACCCCCACCACTGAAACACGGCCAACAGCACGCAGGCTCGAGGCACGCACGAAGCCCTGCATTCCTTGCCAAGGAGGATTCACAAAACAGATGCGTTCCTGACGTAAACCTCAAGGGCACGATGTCTGATGTGCTCTCCGCACCTCCTGTGTTTATGCCTGAATAGTCGTAGTTGGACTGCCGTGCGGCGTTTTCCGTCCCGTTAGCCCCGGAATGGCGCCCCTCGACTCACAGCATCCGGAGGGTCCTGGGGTCGCTGCCGAACCAAAGGCACAGGACCGCTCTTGCTGCCATCTTGGAAGCCAGACCGGCCAAGACGGACATGGCGGCGACGCCCCCCTCGCCCATTCCGCTCACCGCTGCGGGCCCCCCGACGACGGCAGACAGGGCGACGAACTGCATGGTGGCCACTAGCAACTCGATGGTATTGAGGATCGCCACCTGAACCGCGGGATAAGGGGATGAATCGGGCGGTTCGAGTCCTGTACAGTCAGGAGCAGGAGCTTCCCTACGGAGCAACGCAAGACGGTAGCCAACATAGTTGCAATCTCATAGGTTGAGAAGCTACAGGTAAATAGCACGAAATGTCTGCATTCGTGCAACATGTTGTTCACCGTAACATCAATGCTCTGAAAAGTTTCTTCTTGCAGTTTTTCGAGAGAAATATGGCCAGAGGTAGGGACAAGATGATGAGGATGCGTCAGTCAGCTCAAAAGACATGGCGCATCAAACCTGTCGATCCCAGATCATGACGAACGCTGCGAGGAGTCTGAAAAACAGGGGGTACACCACGGCCATGTACATCTTGGCTGCACGGGAAGAACCACCGCCGCCGCCGCCACCAACATACAGAGGCGATGCCGCCGCTGTCGCGGAAGACGGCACAGTCGATGGAACTGTGCTGGAAGAATCCGGTCGTGGCGGGGGCAGCGAATAGGACGAGGAAGACTCGTAACCGTCCTCTCCGTCTTCTCCGTCTTCCTCCCCGGCCCTGTCCTGTCGTCTGTGTTGTCGTCCCTCCCCCAGCCCACCGGTGCCCCCGACATCACCTCTAATTCTCCACTCATCGTCGTCTCTTCTATCGGCGGCGTTACGGCCGCCGCCTTCATACTCATCCCACTCCTCCTCCTGCCGAACGCCGTTTATGGTACCAGTGCTCCGTGTGCTTCGCCGGCCGGTTTGTCGATTTCGGTTTCGCCGCGCCCTTGCCGCCGCCACCGTGCGCACCCTGCTCGTCGCGAAAAGCACCACCCCGGCCGCGAAACACGCGTGCTCGACCACGGCGGCGAGGAGCAGCCCGCCCGCTTCCCAGAAAGGGTCCCCGCCCCCGTCGCCGGACACAACAACGCTCCCCGCAGACTCCTGAGCGGCCGCCGCCGACGCCTCGCTGGACAGCGCCGTGTGTCGGAGGTGGGCGTCGAGGGCTGCCATGCCTACCCCCAGCTGCCACAACCGCCCCTGTGTGTGTGTGTGTGTGTGTTAATTAACATCGACCGCGCTAACCGGCTGACCAATGAAAAGACGTCAGTCTCAGTGCAGGTGAAAAAAAATTACACTCCTAAATGCCATTCATTGGGACCCCGTGTGTGTGTGTGTGTGTGTGTTTTTTAACATCGACCGCGCTAACCGGCTGACCAATGAAAAGACGTCAGTCTCAGTGCAGGTGAAAAAAAATTACACTCCTAAATGCCATTCATTGGGACCCCGTGTGTGTGTGTGTGTGTGTGTGTTTGTTTCCGCGCGGTTTGAAGATCGGGTGTGAGGTTGGCTGGTTCTGTGGACGCCGGCCGGCAACGAACAGGTGGTGCACACGTTCACACGGCACAGACCAATTGCACGAGGTACAAATGCACGGGCGTCTTTGGATCAAGGGCGTCGGATTCCGTCTAAACAAAGCCCGCTGCGGGCGATAAACAAAGCCCGCTGCGGGCGATAGAAATCCGACCCGTATGAAGCACGGTGTTCCTATCCTACGGTTGTCTATGGATGCGCTGTCATGGTTCGGGTGTTGTTGCTGGTTCAACACCTGACGTGTCTCGCACGCCTTGGGGAGCGTTGATACAATCCCCGTTGGATACGAGACGAAGCCGCCCAAATTTCAAGCACGGGAAGGGAAAAACAAACACCATGTGGACTACAACAACGCACGAAACAGAGTGAGCGCACGTCCTGACATAACAAGCTGAGCCGTTGTTTTGTAGAAGCGAATGCCCGTGGGTCTGGCTAGAAAAAAACAACGGAGAGGGGTTCCAGGAACGGGCTGCATGGGGTAGTTTGTCTGGCCGCACGCACCCGAAAACTGTGCGTACTGAACGGCCTCATATTGAAGAGGAGGTGCCGGTAGGCCTGGACCCGATGTAAGGCCAGGTCGATCGCGATCAAGACGAACTCCCACTCGATGTACTTGTCCGCCACGGACCGGCAGTAGCTCTGCCAAGGAGCAAGCGATAGAGTGTGCGGAGAACAAAAAACGATTTGAAGAGGAAACATCAAGCAAGCCGCGGCATCATGCGATCGCGCATGCGAGATGGCGAAACCACACGATCATGCGTGCGCTTGCGACGGAAGCCATGCAGTTGGTCCTGCGAAGCAACCTGCGGGCGTAGGTATTTCTCCTCTCTTCGTACAAGTATTCATTGGCGATTAAAAACGAGATATGTCGAATAAACACGTCATGGGCATCGAGCGGGGAAACTCATCGGTCGGCGAGGACGCCGCTGATCTTGCGACATGACAAAGGTCAGGCGCCTTCCACGCGACGACGTTTGGGAAAGCCTGAGCAAACAACATGTGAAACGTTAAAACTAGCATGTTAATGATCGCTGGTTCATTCCGGGCTACTGCTGTCGTTGACGAACAAAGGGTGTTGTGTGTGTTCCTCCTTCTGTTCGTCCCAAAACAAACCAAGTTTATCTTTATCCGTGGATGCCCCCGAAAAGTAGCGATGCAATCATAGTGGAGATTTTAAATGCGTTTTGCGCTCCTCGCACAACACACGTAGGGCGCAGTGGTAACTCGTCGTTGGGCACCGGGTTCAACGGACCGTCTGGGGTCATCAAACGAGGAGCGAAAAGCTCCGACCTTCTGCATGTTCCCTGTCTGCCTGTCTGCTGCTGCTGCTGTGTACATGCACATCCATTTTCGCTGCTGCGTGCCGAGTGATTGCCCCCGTCGTCGGTCCATTTTGTTACTTGAGGGCTTCAAAGTTCGATGTTGGTGCTTGGATAGCAAATTTGATTGCCTGCATCGAACCGCAGTCGGCTCTCCTGGGTGCAGAGCGGAGAACATGGTCAACTGCTGTGGAATGGAAGTGCCCCATACAATTATCGCAACCGCAGCGCCGACAGACAACTTCCGTAGCGAACGCGCACCGTGTGTGCGCTAGCGGAAAAGTACAAAGCTGCAAGATGCAAGGGCAAGAACAAGCACGTGAGGAGTTATTGTAGCAGAGCAACTGCTGTACACGATATACACGACTGTACAAGAGAGACGAGAGAGCTTATTGCGCCGCATGCGGCCCAACCAACTTCGTCTCTCCCGTTGCTGTTTGCTTTTGTGTGCCCATGTTCCTTGGTCGCACGCTGCAACTCAATCATCAAGCTATCGTAGAGACTCACACATCGTCCCAGTCGGATGTTGCCCTTGTTGTACTCTCGAAAAAGAAGTGCGACGGGTCTACCGCACTCTACACACACGAAGGGTCGGGCGGCTGCCGCCGGCGCCGGCGCCTCCTGCTGCTGCTGCTCTGCCAAGCTCGCACTCCCCTTCACAGACACAGTCTCAGCAGAGCTTCCAACCGCCATGTTGACAGACTACTGCACTTCACCGTACACAGCAGTAGTGCTCCCGCTGTGCGTGTACCGCTGCAGCTGGGCGCTGCAGGGATTTAGATTTTTATCTGCTGCAGGGGGGACGCGGATGAGGGAGCGAGGTACCCGCCCATTAACCTGAAGCCGCTGCAACAAGTAGCTGGACAAGCTGGTGCCCGTGCACGTGGTGCCTCAAGGCTGTCCACGACAGCCAGGACGATGGAGTGCTACCAGGAGGCGATGCGCGCGATAGAGAGGGAGCGCATCAACTTTTTGGACAAGATCGACCTCGTTCAGCCTTCCTTCGAGGAGCAACATCAACTCGAGGTCAGCAGTGATCAAACGTAAAATACCTTAACGGTTTCCAGTCACAGCAGTGTACCAGTAATTGTTTTCTCTCGACAGCACAGATACTTCATGGCGGCATGATGCTCCCGGGCGCTAGACTCCCGCACGTGTCAGCACAACGAGAGCTACGTGGGCGTGTCCTTACCTGGGTATAACTTAGAGTAGTGACGTTCGCTGTTCAGACGACAACAAAGTGTGTGAGTTGTAATTGGTCTCCGAGAATTAGGTCAAGCACACATCGATCACGCGCTAAGATAGAAGCCTTGCGATGTTGTTCCCAGTGCGTGCGGCTGTGTTCCGTGGGCCATATCGCGAGTGCCGAATTCGAAGCACTCCACGAAAAAAGCATTGAATTTTGGGAACTGAGATTTATTTCCGATTTGGCAAATAGCCCACAGATCTTGGGCGTACCGATATGGTAGAACTCACCAACTGGAGTGGACGACGACTATCGCATACATGCTACACTCCTCACGATAAACACCACCAATTGTTGTTTGTAGAAGGACCTTCGGAAGCGTGCGAAGCGGGCGCGTTCTGCTTTCTAGACCAGGCAGCACCTGCAGCTGCAGTAGAGGGTCGTCGGAGATCAAGGCAGAATGGGGGGGGGTACGGCTGCCAAGTTCAAAGCACTGCAAAGTGAATCTGCCGCGAACGCTGCTTTGTGCACCTGATGACCATCTTTGCTTCAACTCTGTCAAACTGTTGTCTGCAGTGGGGGCGCCGTTACCAGGAGGAAGAGCTTCTAGCCCTGCGGTTGGAGGTCGGTGAGGTCTCGGGAGAGGTGGAGGCGGAGATAAAGCAGCTTCGAGACAGGGAGGAGATCATCCGTGCCATCCGTGACGAGCAACGGCAGGTACGGCCCTACGTGGGGGTACGTTTGGCCTGTGCGGTAAGGCCGTGGAGAGACTCGCACCCACCCCCACCCCACCCCACCCCCCGCCCCTCGGCGTAGGTCGATTAGGCGCCGCTTTTCGCCATTAAGAGAAGAAGCGGCAGTTTGGCCGGGTGGCGTTTGAGTGCTCTGGTCGCGGTGGCTATTTGTCACCACTGTTGGTGTTGATTTGCTCGACTTTGTCTTGTGTACCAATTCGTAATAGTGCAGCGGACCCCTGCCTCAAGTCGGACCCGAATACATACACATGCCCCAAAATGCAACAATACTGCTGCACGCGCTGTTTTCCCTTTCGGGTTTCGCTGTGCAATCACCACCGCCCCGCCCCGCCGACCCTTGCAGGACCGGATAAAAATCCAGACGTTACTCGCCCTGTCTCAGCCCATCACGCCGGACATCACCGTGGTATTCCAGGCTTTGGCGCCCGACGCCTGCCCCCCGCCCTTGCCGCCGCCGTCGAGAGGTGCTCGACCCCTCGATAGGTCGTACGTCCCTCAGAACAATCGAAGAGCGGTAGCTTCGAATTCGCCTTCACGCAGGAGTGTTGCGGCGGCGGCGGCGACAGCTGGGAGGAATGCTGGGCGAGGTGTAAGTGGAGAGGAAGAAAGAAGAGGCGTTTTTGGAGACGAACGTCCTATCGAACGCCCAAGACACGTTGAACGTCGTAGTATCAGGCAGCAGGAGCAGCGGCCGCGGCGACGGCGGTACTTGAACGACGGTATCGGCAGCGACGGCTGCAGCGGTGGGGAACAAATAAATATGGAGGGAGAAAGGAATGCTGGGCGAGGTGTAAGTGGAGAGGAAGAAGGTAGCGATGATGCTGGCAGTGACAGCCACACACAGGAAGAGGAGGCGACTGGAGGGGTGAGCTACGGGTTGTATCCGGGACGGCGATGGACCTCGGAGCGAGTGGGGGGGAATGGAGGCCACGCAGACAGAAGGAGGGGGGGGAGGGAGGGAGGAGTTCCTGGCAGCAGGAGGAGGAGGAGGCCGAGAAGTGGCGACGGTGGGGGCAGTCTCGGCACGAGAAAAAGCAGGGAGGCGAACAGGCTGTGTACCCGGGGATATCAACAGCATCTGGAACGAAGATTGGAACTCAACGAGGTTCGTCGGCGGAATACGGTGCCTCAACCCCCCCCGCAACCCACAATGAGTGTACGGTAAATAAGACACAAATCGCCCTGTACGGACTTTTGGGAAGGTAGACGTAAAGGTTTTGAACAAATCATTTGTAAAGGTTTCTACGCAACTTTGTGCTACATCGGGGGGTCACGGTATTTCGGCGTATGGTGCATACCACCGTCTCGCCACCTAGAAGCCAAAAGCTGTCTATCGCAGTCATAAGGGAAAAGTAGTCGTCCGAAAGAGCCTTCTTTGATCTTGCGAATAGTCTCCACAAGGTTGGAGGAAGAGGTGTTGCCATCAGGAGTTTGCGCTCCTCGACAATTGTGGAGGTGGCAGTGCGACTGCTCCACTTTTATAGAACTTGAGTAGTCACGGGTACATTCTGCTAAAGTAGCTCAACTAGCGTGAATTTCTAGCCATGTCGTCTACTCTGTTTTCAGCGGATCTGATGCGTGCACTTTGGTGCTGAGAGCTACGAAGACGAGGTCTCAAGTATGTAGCAGGGCTCACAAAGGTTATGACATGTTATTCGTCCACAACCAACCCCCGCTGGACACAGAACAGGACGGTTTTAGGCTTCCTGCTGATTTCATGACAAGCGCGGTTTATCTGAGGTGCACCAGCGGTGACAAAAGCCTTGGTCGAATTAATCGTCAGCGGCAACAGAGGGGATGAGGTGAAGGAAATGATTCCCACAAGAAGCAAGAGCCTTCGACAACTCAGAAACCTGTTGTTTTTGAGTTGTGCTCGGCTGAAACACGCGTGGCACAGACAGACTTCATCCTCGGGGCGGGGTCCGAGGTTAGGTAAGCTCCGTGGGGCCCCTTCTCCCAGTTGCCAGTGCTGTTTTCGCCACCTTACACGTCTTGTCTGCGCTCCTTTGCACCCTCGACTGCCTTTTGATTCCCAGCGGCACTTGCGGGAACTGGAGCGCCTCGAAGGCTCGTACCACGAAACGCTAACAAGGGACAAGCAGGAGAGAGAGATACACGCTCGGGTTCAGAGGGACAACGCCGCCCGCGTTGTGGAAGCCCTCGAACGGAGGTGAGTCGAAGCTGTTGAACACAGTGGCGGCATGTGTCATCAGTCTTGGACCATTCTTTTGGCGTTGAAGTCCTCTTGGTTGCGGAGCAACGGGTTTTTCGCGCGCCCATGAGTTTGACCGCACTTTTGACATCGCACCCTGGTGACCCTCTACAAGGAGGGTTCGAATCCATTTAGGGTGAAAATTCAAATAATTGGTATTATGGAGGTTTCGAGAGCATGGTCGCGAGTAAACACGAAAACGAGGGAAGGAATTAACTGTTGGACCCTTCTCGCGTTCAAATTGAAGGCAAGTAAGGGGAGCACGCGGTGAAAAAAAGAAGAAAAACTCCGGTGCTTAGCTTCCTCCTGTGCGACCCGAACTACTGTGTCAAACATTGCTAAATTCGGTGTCGACTGTCGCCCAAAACAGCACCGATGGGACGGAAACAATAACACAGCAAAAATGTTTTGATCGTTTGAGTTTGTTCTTTCGGAAGCGTGTGAAATGTATTTCCGTGCGCATACCTGGTACATGTGTATGGTAACTCGACGAGCATCGTAGCGTTGCCTGTCTGAAGCTCTTAACTTTTTCAGCGGGTAACCATCAAGCAAGGTATAGACCAAGAAGACGCCCGACGAGCAGCAGACAGGAACCGGGGGACCCTAAAAAACAAAGCATCACAAGTATGACAACAAAGAACATCCCTCCCAACAACTATTCAAATTGAATGATGGGTAGGTGGGAGACCAGCGGACCCCAAAAAACAAAGCATGAAAAATAAAAATAAAAGGAAGCTAGAACAAAGACAAGTGAGCCAGACGCGACAGACTTCCGGGAGGTGGCAAGAGAGAGCATAGAAAAGTCAACGTCGCCGCTGGCTCTGAACCGCTGGAAGCTGTCACATAGCACTGCATGCAGCAAACAGTAGGGGCCATGCCCATTGCTTCACGTGATGAGGCAGCGCCCATCGCCTCACATGCAGCAGCCGGGTACACGGGTAGTCTCTTACTCAGTAAGAAGCAAAACGATTGCGGTTGACGTTCGATGTTGTTGGGACCCCAACGGCGAGAGGCGAGAGAAAGGCAGATAGACCAAAAGAGGAGAGCATCGAGAAGGCATTAATTCTCGAGAAGACACTCACTCTCGTCCCTGTGGCCCACCGCAGGCTGTCAAACATATGTAACGAACGGCGACATCCGATGTGCGCTCAGCAACAACAAACACAACAAACAAAATATAAGCGACGTATCCCAACTGTGGAGACTTTGTTTCATTTTGTGGTATGAAGCAACAAAGGATAACATGACTAGAACCACCGCGGACGAGCTATTATCTCCATACGCTTGCCGTCGCGATAGATGCGCACCGCTACACGAACGACCAGTTGTCAAACCTCACTACACAAATAAGATTGTGCTGCCATCTACCTTAAAGCTCAAATTATGTGATGCTTAACCACCCATCCATGTTTATGCAGCAAGAAAAAAAAAACTATGGCGGACAGTCTGTTGTTGTTCGTATCTTCGACCGTGCTGCCGTTGCTTTTCTTTATGGATATCGACACAGAGAAAAAACCAAGGGGTCTGCATCTCCTACGCGAGCACGGCGTGCAGCCCAAAGCGACATAGACGATAACCTTACGACCTCTGCAGCATATTCCAAGCACAACAACAGCAACCGCATGTGTACAACGGTCACTCATGAACGAAAAAAAAAAGTTGTGGCGCGCACTACGCAGAACCCTCTTTCGCTGTTCAACCGGCCGTTCCCATGGCGAAACAGACAATGAACAGTCAAGGCCAAGTCGTGTCGGCCACAGGAGGTGCGAGTTGCTCAAATTCGGGGAGGGGTCATGTTTTGGGATTCCTTCCTGAACCATACTTGAGGCGCCACGAGATTTGCACTGTAGCCTGAGATCAGCATTTGAGACCGGGTCGGGCCAGGGGTGGGGGATGTGAATGAAAGTTCCACCCACCCACCCACGGATATCAAACGATGAGATTGAAGCTAGCTTCAGATTTTTTTTATTGTGTGTGTTTGCGTGTGGTTGTCTTTTTTTTTTCGCATCGAGAATGCTCACCCTGTAGGCTGATATTTTGGAAAGACGTCGGTCTTCTCCGTGCGGCTGAAAACACAAAGCGCTCCTTAAGGCCATCATCTGCTGTGTGTGTGGGCACAATCTTGTTGGTTGCAGGAACGCCGAGGTGGAGAAGCGGTTATCTGGGGCAACCGACGACTACCTTCGTTTGAGACACAAGGCCAAAGAAGCTCACGCAGTGTCGGCGGAGGAGCAAAGGCAGTGCAGAGAGGCGCGTGAAAAGGTGAGCTGGTGGCTTCTGATGCCACATTTTTTACCTCGCGCCCCGTGCGGCTGAGCCTGCCTGTGCAGTTTCAGCAACCTCTATCTCTCTCCCGTTAGATTTCGGGGGTCCGATTACTGCGTGTGGAGGTTGCTGGTAGATGCGGCAGCAGGAGGCCACTTCTGAAGACGATGGTATGGTCGGGGGCTTTATCTTTTTTTTGTGGTGTGCATGAGATGGTGTGACCGAGTTCCCATGAGAAACGATACAGGAAAGGGAGGTATGAGATGGGTTTTAGTGTAACAATACATATCTGACGGGGGGGG